TTGATACCATTTGTTATGGTCATAAGAAGGAGCATCAATTAGGGAGCATTGAACATTGGGTCAAGAGTAACACAAGTGAGAGAGACACCACGTATTCACCCAAAATCTTAAGGTGATAGGTGTATGGATTCTCCCACTTATAAATGCTCAACTATTCAGATTTATAATCAAGTGGAACTCTAACTCACACTTGACTTTATTATTCTTAATACAAATGTGTTATGAGTCGTACTTTTACATGATGTGGAACCACACTTATATATGAACAATGATTAGAACCTTTCCCAGTAAATGAGACGCTTTGTGCGAGAGACCGTTAGATGGATTCCAATGGTAGTGATGAAACTGATGTTTGACTTTTGTGTGTGGCTCGTTTGTAAAGATATACATTTTCTTCAATATGAACAAACAAAATTTTGATTTTAGTCTTTCTATTTGATCGGTCTTTTTAGACGTTTGACTGGTCTGAAACAAGAGTTACTTTAATATTAAATAAAAAAAACCTCTTGTCAATTTTTTTAAAACTTTTCATGAATCCAAACATATTTTACAAAAACTCATAGTAAATGGGGGACCGGATACTATGTGTAGGAGACAGATACTTGAATAGGGGAAGCAATGTATCTCTTTCACTATTTTGTATTTTCTTTAGTCCCCTACTTCTCCTATAGGCAATGTCATTGTCAACTCTTAATGCTTCATAAATTCCAAAGGAACACAGAAAAGTGGGTATCAAATATTTTTTTCTTTACACCTCCACAGATTTAGTAATTGCTAAATTTGTTGAGTAATTGCTGACCCTACAATGCCTATATATAAGACCTAGAGATGCAATTAAAATGTACTAGCACTATATAGTTTACCTTATAAACTTATCAATATAATTAAAAGGAAAAAAAAAAGCACAAACTTTGACATCTTAACTATTCCATATCTCAATGCAAAAGGTTAAAAAAAAAAACTAAAAGTTAACCCAACAGAAGGTAAAAAACATCCACATTATCATGTTAAATTTTTTTTGAAAAGAGCTATGAAGTGTTATTGCTAAACACTGACACACAACTACCTTCCCCAAAGAAAACGAGTGATGAAATCAAAGACCAAATTTTAGTGTGTGATTAATTAATTGCATGGTCTTGTCAATTTTCTCCTTTATGCTTGAGTCTAAAACACTGCCTATAATCATAGTACATTTACTTTCTTTTTTATTTTCTAGTAGCTTAGTGGTTCAAATCCGCGCCTTGAAGTCAGATATATCTGCGCAACTCTTAACTGAACTTGCTTAACAGACCATAATACATTTAACTAACTTTACATATAAAAAGAAAATATAGATAAATAAAGGTAAAACAAAAGTTGTATGATATAATTTCTCTTGAACTCAGCAAAATGTAGCAGACTTGAATGAAAGAGGGTACATGAAGGAATTAGAATAAGTGAATCGAATAATCTGGCTAGAACTCAAAGGTTTTCCACCATTCACCAAACAATCATCATAAGAGAGTCTTTTGAACAATCTAGGGTTGATTATTCTTGCAGAAGCGAACCAGCCACAATGGAGATGGATTTCATGAGGTGCACATCCAGAAACACAAGTGTTCATAATTTGCACTATGTATTGTGGAATTCCAGAACTTGAACCTTTGCTTTGCGAGATGCTTATGTCTCTTTTTGTGCATGAACCTAATCAAATAATAATAATAAGATATTTCTTTTAAGAAAAGCGCAAAAATGAGCGAAAGAATTGCATGCGTACCATGAAACCAAAATTTTGTAGAGACGGAATGAGCATGTTCTGATTTTTTTTCTGAGACTGTTATGGTTATGGACACATTTTTGTCTTCATGGAAAGAACGAAGAATCTGTGTTGAAGAACCTGCAAACATTATGTAAATTTCTGGTTGAAAAAATGATTAAATTATATATAGAGAGAAAATAAAGCAAGAGGTTATGTTTACGTTACCTGAATGCATTTCAACATCACAAAATACAAGGAAGGGCATTGTGAAGCAGAGGAAGAACAGATGAAAAGACATTGTGGTTGTCATGTTTTAATGCAGCTATGGCTATTTTTTTTTCAATGAAATGAAACTCAAGAGTGTGTTTAGGAAAGAATTTTGAATATAGAAGAGAGGAGAGAAGTATTTGTAGGGTTGGTGACCCCTAGAGTGTTGCTTATACGAGAATGGTATGATTAGATTGCACATTTTAAGTGCATTATGATGTCCCTTTTATTCTTGGGGTAACGTAATTAATATACCAACATATGGCGACAAATAATAATAATATTCAACAAGCATATAAACAAAAAAGTTTATTGTCGAATTAAAAAAAAAAAAAAAAAAAAAAACACACACACACACATATATATATATATATATATATATATATATATATATATATATATATATATATATATATATATATATATATATATATATATATATATATATATATATATATATATATATATATATATATATATATATATATATATATATATATATATATATATATATATATATATATATATATATATATATATATATATATATATATATATATATATATATATATATATATATATATATATATATATATATATATATATATATATATATATATATATATATATATATATATATAATGTTCACTCAAATATTATATGTAAGCAGTGTTAAATCTTTTAAAAGAGAATTTTACCGTTAATTATGATTCTCTTCGACTTTAAAGATTAGTCTTTTGAATTGTGTTAAAAGAAAATACCTATTGATATCAAAGAGAAAAAAAAGTATATTATATGTAAAAATCATGTTTAGTATATGTGATCAAATCTATTTGAAAAATATTTAAATGTCAAAATTAATTTTTTTATCACAAAAATAGTCTAAAAACGGTAAGGTTTGCTAAAATTACAATATTTTATTTTACCTCTAATCTTGACTGATAGTGGTAAGCTTTTGGGTCCCTTCCTTTTTCACATTGAGATGAATACAGCATCTAAAGAAAAAACAAAGCACTATGAATGAATACTAAGCTGGAAGAAGAAAATTAGAGGGTAGCAATGGCAGGCCCCTATGAGAAAAGGAAAATGGAACTTGAGGAAATCAGTTATAGCTTCTTTTATTCTTCCATTTGAATGATAAACTTCCATTTTTATTCTTCATTTTACATATTGTAGACTTATTCCAACTTTGACCAAATGTGTCATTTATGATGAATGGCATGCATGCACATGCAGACACGGTTGCATGCATTGATTCATTATTCATGTCTTATGTCACTTTTCATCTTTTCATATTTTCATGAAAATGTTTTCTTTTTGTAACGACATATGTATCAATAATAATCCTCACAAAAACCATTTCATAATTGTCTGTCACTTGCACGTGAAGATACACACTTGAAAAAGGATTCAAACCCTTATGATTATTTTACAACTAATCAGATCAAATTTAATTTCAAAGATTATAAAGTCAAACTCTTAAATCTCATAAACATAAGAATCCAGACCTTAAAATAGTACTAGTTATTGGGGTGCATGGGAATCTAGCTATTTGAAGGTAGAAGAAAGAGTGACTATAATGTAGCACTTGGTAACAAAGTGAGAATTGAAAGATGCCCCTGAAATCAAAGCTTTATTTAGAATCCATTCATACAAAACAGTTAGAAGTCACTGTTAGGTTGCCAAAAGACAAAACCGCGTTTTGCCACTATGTGAAGTAATATGAATGAAGATGAAAGAACTTTCTTTCTGATGCTTTTTCAGAAGCACATGTGGTGGGTTCATGTATACCATTTGGATTGAGCTAGTGCTTTCGAGTTCAGGTGGCTAGATATAAGAATCACTTTGAATGTTAATTTATTGCGTTTGCAAATTATAGCAACCTAAGGTTTTGGGGCTAGCCAGCTCACCTGTCCATGCATGTATGACCATGTGATGGGAATTAATTGCTGCAGCACTAAGAATATTTCACTACTTGCCTAGGCACACTCTTATATTTATGATCAGAAATTATTGTGCCACAGTTTTACGATTATTTACATAAAAGTTTAGTTTCCTAACTTACATTTGATTCCATTTCTTATGCATGATAATTTTTAATTGTCACGTTAATTATATTATAACAATTTTATTAAAATACCAGTGTTAAAAACATGTCATTTAGATTGTTGGTACACCGCAGAGTATACAATGGGAGCCAAAGGCTCTATAACTATGGATTGTTGGCTAAAATTTTACCCGTTATATAAGTTTTAGATTGTAGTGGGAGCCAGTAGTACTGGAACAGTTTGGCCACATAAATCTAACCAATACTTTTAGAAGCAGACTTTTAAAACTTGTTCGAGATAGTAATTACATAAACTTGTAATACATTTTTTCAATTCCGGTCACTAATTCAATTGTAATACATTTTTTAAATTCCGATTACTAGTTCATTTTAGTTAAAACATTTTTTTAAAAAAATATTGAAGCGAATAGATTATATTTGAAATAAGCAAACTCAATATAAAAGGTAACATCATTATTTCAAAGATAAATTGGGTGCTCAATTTAAGGCATTCATCTATTAGTTTTAAAATAATAGAACAAAGTACTATTATAAAGAAACAAACCATTCCTACAAGCTGGATCTACTAAAATTATACATAATCGTGTAAATCACGAGCCAAAACCACAGATGGTGTGCACGTGAAAATGTGACTAGTCAATCATGGGGCGTACTTGGATAAAACGTGACTAGTCAATCATGGGGCGTTCTACATTTAGAGAGAGAAAAAGATCAAGAAAATATTTGATATCTTAAGTTTCCTTGCTTCCATGATTTCAATAACGTGAGGTATTGATGTTCATCAGATGACTAACCAGGATCATCATCCAATAAGCACAACAAAAATGACAGGAGGGCATAGAGAATAGCTTGCACAGATAGTAGTTGTACATAAACCAAGCGCCCTTAATTATTGGAGTACAACTGTAACCGCTCTAACATGATTGGTCATTTATCCTTCTTATTCTGCTCAGTAAGCATTTTCAAAACGGTTACCAATGCTTGCAAACGATCCCAGATGCTAAGCCCATATAGTGCTTCAACAAGTGACTCCTGAAATTCAAATCCATTTTCTGCCACAGGATACTATGACAGATGAAAAGTGCATCTCAGTATCTATCTACTAACAGTCAAGTCTTAAAATATTATGAAAGGTTTTCCAGACTGACCTGAATAGGCTTAGGTATTTTTGTCTTAATGAATGGCCACCATCTATCTTCAACAACTGATTTCACAAGGCAGCATGCTCGCAGGCCTTCAACACCACCAAATCGTCCAAATCCACTGTGTTTCACTCCCCCAAAAGGCAGCGACTGGGAAAAAAGAATGCAACTTTACTTCAGTGGAAATTTAAAGAGGTGCAGTACAGTTTAGCTGAAAGAACTGCCAAGTTATAATAAGCAAAAGGAGAGTCTAATTTAAAACAATTTGTGCCTTTTACCCAATGACTTGACCTATTGGAAGAGTTGACATGGTAACTCTTTATGACAAGTGATCTGGCAATTGGACTCTTCCAATGGATACCCGCAAAAATTACCCACAACAAATATGGTAAAAACCCGCAAAATAGGTAGGGTATCGGCATGGGCATGAACACAGAGAATTATCCACTAAAATAAGCGGGTATGAGCGCAGGTACGGGTACTTTAATACCCACCCTGCCCAATGTCCACACAATATATATTTATATATTTTTATTTTTGTTATTATGTACACATGTTAATTTGTCAATTTTATTAAATACATTACTATTAAACTTGTACGCATTTTAATATAAATGTTTGTTTAGTTCTTAACTCAACAATAAGATCCTTTAATTTTTAAAAATTTTTTTTTAATATTGTTGAAAATATTTAAAATTACATGATAAATTATAATTGATCAATTAACTTTTATTAGAAATGTGAATAAGCGAGTATGAGTATGAGTACTTAGATACCCATAGGGTACGAGTAGGATACAAACGTTGGCGCCTACACGGTTATGGGCTCGGAATTTTTTTCAAACAACGGGTATAGAGACGGGTTCTATAGTACTGCGCCCAAACGTTCCTCATTGTCATCCCTGCTCTAGGATATTGTTAGAATATTATAAATATTTTATAATATCCTTTATATAGAGTATCTCTTAGTATCAGATTTGATATTAGTTATTATTATCATGATTTTTTTTCTTGATTTAGGATTGTGTATCCCTATAAATAGAGATTAATATTGAGTCATTTGTATCATGTCAATAGCTATTACCAGTAATACTTTTCTCTCATTTTTTATACATAATCACAAATACAACAAGGTATCAGAGCCTAGTTCCAATCCAATGACCTATGGGTAATGGGCTCACCTCGCTTCCACTGCACATTCTTAATTTAGATTTCAATTTCAAGATGGAGATGGGCATGTCTGAACATCCATCAAGCCCTAAGGGCTTTTGCGTGACGAGGCATGTTGAGATGTGTAATATAAAACCATTCATGTGCTGCTTTATGCAGACTTGGTTCGTGGCACGAACACAATAAAAAATCAGAAAGCGAGATCAGTAATTGAAAATCAAATCTTACCTGACACATATAATTTGATGCAAAATCATTAACTGCAGCTACCCCACAATGTATATGAGAAGCTATCTCTCTAGCATGACTTTGATTGCCTGAGAAAACAGCGCAGCCGAGCCCATATTTTGAGTCATTAGCAAGCTTGATAACTTCTTCATCAGAGCTAAACTTCATTATTGGCATGATAGGTCCAAATGCCTAAAAGTCAGATGCACAGATGAATCTAGTAAGCAGTTGCTAGAGCATACCAGAATGAAAGATATTCTTGATTAATAGTTGGTTGCACTACATGAGAATCAATAATTCAAATTTCAAAATCTCCAATACATGTAGTAAAGATATGAGCCATATCTTGTAGTTGATTACATAGATATGGATTAAAACCGAAAAATCTTTTTAAAAAATGAAAAAAGCAGTAATGTGAAAATAGAGAAATAGCAAGCTTTGCTACCTCTTCTTGCATCAATCTCATGGAGTGATTCACATTTACAATTACAGTAGGGGGAAAATACTGATCAACAGCATCTTCACCTATATGTCCAAAACTTCCACGAGCAACAATTTCAGCTCCTTTGTCTAATGCGTCATTTACAAGACCTTCAAGCTTTTCAGAATGCTCATGCATGCATAAAGCTCCCATATCATACTTCCCAGCAAGTGGTGGACCCTGCAAGAAATCATTAACCCAAAACAGTTTATAGCGGTATAGAAATGCATGTGTAGGGCTGTTCATGGTATAGTTATGTGAGATAACTGAACCGAACCGAACCATTATATAAGGTCATCTGAACCGAACCGAACTAAAATTTTTGGTTTGGTATAACGGTACGGAACTCCGAACCGTACCAAACCATTAGAAGACAATTTTTTCCAAACCGAACCATTTATTAAAGATGCTTTTTCATAATGATTAATGATACTTTAAGCTAATAAACAAGTCGAAAATAAACACTTGCAGATATTACCATCTGTACTGCGATATCTTCATTATACATGAAATCTTGGGTCAAATAATGTATCTTTAACAATAACACAACCTTATTCATATTAACTACTGAATCATATGATAAAACATTACTAAATTTTCTGACTCCAAATTACTGGTGGGACATAAACATTACTCATAACACAAAATACAATGCAGACATTCATGTAAGAAATAAAGACAACACAGAAGAAAAGAAACAGGAATTGATGATAACAACTGTAATAGCTATTGACATAAAAACCTCAAATATACTTACACTTGACATTCATATCATAAAAAAACTTCTATAGTCACAAGTAGTTTGAACATGGAAGAAAGGTAAACATTATTCAAAATAAAACCATTACCCATTCAATACTGTGAAAGTTGTTTCTATAAACTATTGTGAAAAGTTTATTTCAATAAACAAAATAGAACTTATCAAATATGTCACAAGTTATTTACATGAAATATTTTAACAGATTCCTGCATTATAGAACCTGCAGAGTACAGTACAGTGAAACCTGATCCATCTCTTGAGTCAACAAATAACCAAATCAATTATAATGTTGCATAGAATTATTTTTGTTGGTTATACATATGATATAAGCAAATCCTATGCAATTCAAATGAGTAACAATACCAAATAAACTAAATTTCTTGAACTAGTCATAGAAAGCATTTGAGTTCACTCATTCATTATAAACAGAAAAATTATAATGTCACAAAAGCAAGAGATAAAAAAAATTCAATTTTTCAAGGAGAATATAGTTTGAGGGTTTGGGATCTTCACTAATTTGGGGGTTTAGGGTTCTTGGCCATTTTTCAATTTTTCAAAGTTCCAATAATTCAGAATGTGTTTGATGTTATTAACACTCAAAATAAAACAAAGTTATTAGAAGTTACAATTTAGAAACTAAAATAACAACAGTTCGGTTCGGACAAATTTGAGATTGGTTAATTGCTTAACGGTTCGGTTTTAGAACCATTAATAAAGTATAAGTTCAGTTCACTAACCATTAGTAATAGTTTGGTTATTTTAACGCCAATTCAGTTTGGTTCGGCGGTTCGATTCGGTTCAATAGTTTTTTGGAACAGTCCTATGCATGTGTGTGTGGGTCAAGAACAGTTTAGATATAAGCCAGAACTTACTTGATTCTACAAGAACAAGAATATATCAAAAATATTTCATAATAGTTGGGTTGCATTTTAAAGTAACTTACAAGTGTTGATCATTGTCTAAGTTTTCCGACATACGTCGTACGGATGTCATACAAATGTTGGACAGTGCGACACATCTACTCCTAGAGGTGTCCGTGCTTCATAGGTTGCAATCCACTCCGCCCAAATTAGAGGGGGTGGGGAATTGGATGTGATGGTATCCATTCTATCACGCTCAATTCCATTAACAATCCAAACAATGTAACATTCACTAACTCCACTCTATCATCGTATTTTAGGGTTAGTACTTAGTCTTAAAAATCAAAACATGGTCTAGGGCAGGTTTCTGTAATATATTTCATGATATCTTTCCTTATTCAATTAGGATTAGAAGTTCAGTATAAATATAAATAAGGTTGTGTTTTTACTTTATTGTATAAAATCATAATCATAATCATAATTCAGAGTTTTTATTTCTTTCTCTTCCCTCTATGGAAAATAGAAAAGGAGGAATACAGAAATGTAACAAAAAATGACGACAAAGCAACATATCATGAATCCTATGACTGTCTTGCGAAATTTAAGAATAAACTACATCAGATGTAACAATAAGCTGATGGACTTCTGAAATAGAAATTCTGTAAGGTGCAAGTAAATGTGACATGTAACAAATATTGACTTAGACAGATATTGAACAAGACATTTGTCATAGAAAAACACGGGTAATATTTGAGATAAAAAACACTTACAGCTGTAACAGATTTTATGATTTTGGTAATTTTGCTGACAAAAGATGGATAAATGTTCCTATGGACATAAAACCGTTCAGCTCCAGCACAGTTCTGCCCACTTGACTGAAGAAAAGCCCTGACAGCAATTTGAGCAACCTACATTCAGAAGATCAATGACAATTAAAACTTAAAACTATGGCATTAAACAATGATTATATCATTATGTTGTAAGGTCAACATCTGCAACCAAATACAGTCAACAATTATATGCAAGCCTTTGGAAATTATAAAATGTGAAAGGTATTCATTCATACATGGTCCACATCTACATCTTCACAAACAATAAATGCATCTTTTCCACCAAGCTCTAGTGTAACTGGTATAAGTGTCTCAGCAGCATTTTTCATTATCTACAAAAAAAGAGCAAGAAATCTCAGCAGCATTTTTCATTATCTGCATTCAGCTGATCTTGATACTACTCTAAACATTGACCAAATATTCTAGGGAAATTCTTTACTGAATGCATAACATATCAGAAATTAAATCTTCAAAATCATAAACAAAACTATTATGTGATACAATTCACAGATGAGAAAACAGGTCGAACTAATTTGATTGGGCAAAGGAGTCATACCATCTTACCAACCCCGGGTGATCCAACAAAAATGACTTTATCAACAGAAGACACCAGTGCTTCTCCTGTTTCCGCAAACCTGGTAAGAAAAGTACAATTGAGGTAATAGATGCAGATATGACTGAAATTAAAGGGAAAAGAAAGGGTAAAAAATAAGGCTCTACCCTGTTATCACCTCAACAAGGTCCTCTGGAGCTCCTATGGCAGCAAGGGCCGATTGGATGATCCGGAAGTAAAAGCATCCAGACCAACTTGCATGTTCTGATATCTACAATCAGAATCACGAGGATTTTGGTCAAACTGAAAAATGTAAACATAAAAATGTAGGTATTGCTATTGAATGTTGCAGAAATTCAACTGTTAAAGTAACAAAATATTATACTATCCCCAAGAAAGCATAACAGTTAGCAAGGTCTATTGTTAAGAAAACATTATAATACATCCATACAATGAACAATTTTAGACAAGGTACTACTTGGTTACATATTATGCCATTTTATACCTTAATCACAATGCCATTTCCAGAAAAAACTGCTGCTAGCATAGGGTTAAAAATATTATGGAAGGGATAGTTCCACGACACAATGGCCCCAATAACTCCAAGGGGGTGAAATTCTACTCTGGATCTTTTATGAAGCATTGCTCTTCCAGAGGATCTGCAATTTTATTCATTTATTGCAAAACAAAACAAAAATAGTCATGAAAATGCACTTAGATTAGGTGATTCAGTATTAACATGGAAACATCTTTTACTTATTAAAAAAAACATAAAATCAAATTAAAGGGCATACAGTAACAAACAAAGAAAATAAAATGAGAGACAATCTAACATGTCAATTTATGGTGCATCTACTTGTCAATGGCCCTAAGAAACATAAGTATCATTTTCTTTTGAATAAATAAATATAAGTAGAGAACTACTAGTGTTTTCAGTCTAAACTCTACATAATATGAGAAAAAATATATTATATATTTAAATACAAAAAGATTGAGACAGGTACCTGTATTCAGGTTTCAGACATTTTTCACCCTCTGACAGTAGCCAATTGATCTTCTCACATGTTGTCATTATTTCTCCTAGAGAGGCATCTACCATTGTTTTTCCAGTATCACGTGATGATATCCTAATAAAAGGACACCATTGAGAATACATTCATATTGATATTCTTATGCAATAACCCCAGTTCATATTTATTTTTCAGACTAACGAACAAAATGATGCTAAAATTGCATGTTTCCCAGGATGTTACAACTCACAAGTGCAGCATTGCATAAGTTTTCTCTTAAAAAAAAACAACACTGAAATCTTCAAAAACTATGACCAGGGATTTGAAGTGCTCTTACTCGCAAATTAGTGCTTGATGTTTAATTATATACTTCAATAGTATACGCAAAAACTGGCGCCTTTGCTTGAAGCTGGTCTTTGCCCACATTTTTTGTGCCTTCCGTACTTTTTCAATTTGCTCCTTGACCTATCCATGTCTCAAGTTAGTACTGGTTATTTCGGAGAGTACTTTTACTTATGAACGCATCTAGTCAAACTGGTAATTATGAACACTCTTGTAAAAACATGTTTGTATCATGAATATTCATATTTATGGCTTCTTGAGCGTAAGATATAATAGTGAACCAAACAAAATCCCTAATAACTCACCCTTTGATATTTTTCTTTTGCAGTGAAAATTTCAAAACTTGTTATTTCTAAAAATAATACTTATTATTATACTTAGATTTGCATAAACATAAAATAAATATATAAATAGTTTAATGACTATGCACAGAGGGTATCAACCAAAATTACACAATTACACAGAGGGTATCACATCTCACCATGTAGATATTTGTTGAGATATTTAAAAAAAGTAAAATAACAAAATGGCATCATGGTGAGATATAACTGAAAGACAGTAAAAAAAAATATGCACTATCAATGTATAGTCATTAAATTTTGTTATAAAAAATATACTCCATTCAATAAACAACGTGCATCTAAAACTAATAGTTGCTTTCTAGCTTAGGTAAACTATATTCCAAAACTTTTATTGGAATATTATGAATCAGTGAATCACAATCATTAATCTCTTGAGAAGCAATAAGCATAGAATCACAGACCTCATCTGGTGTCAAAGCAGGAACATATCCCAAATATTTCATGGTAGCAGGCTCATAGCACTGAACTTTCTTTCCTGATTGCTGCGCAGTTCCCCTCGGAGGCACCTGAATAAGAAGCAATTTCATCATCTAGACTGAACAGCAGGAGGATTCTCCAAAAAGGAAAAATAAAATTACAAACCACCAAACACCAAGTCATAGAACTCATATAGTGCTTCACCGAGATAAATTTAATTCCTAAAACAAATCATTCAGCAACATACTCATTTCCAATTAAAATGAACTCTAATTTCAAGTTTCAAATACAAGAGTAAACCGTGCCGATCTCACATATCGCGGAAGCAGAGTACAATCAAACACATCAAGATCTCAATTCTAAGTGAATATGAAAAAAATTATTAGCAGCACAACACTCACGTATATGAAGCTATTCTCCTGCGATTGGTTTCCATCTTCCAACACTGCGATTATCAAAATCCACATTACGATTTCACCATCACAACAAATTTTAATGCGATAGTGAGTGAGTGTGGAAAATTACCATCGGAAGCATCAACGTCGATGGAAGGAACCTTAGGAGGAATGAGCATGAGAAGGAATTTGCAGACAGCGAAAGCGAAAGCTAGAACGAGCAAGGACCACCAAAACGCCATTGTAAAACTCTGAAGCAGATTCAGAGGGAGAGCTTTTCTTCGAAGAAGAAAACCGATTCGCTAGGGTTTTGAAGAAGCTTCTAGAGAGTTCTATTTCTTTTGGAGGAAAATGGTCGAAAGAGAGTGAAGGAAGGAATCAGATGAGGCTCTCAGGTGATGAATATACATAATAGTTTGATACTATAGACAAATGGAGAAGGAAACTAATAAAAGAAACAAAAAGTAGCACAAATGAAATGGGATGAAAGAAAGCAACAAAATTCGATTCTATGGTTTTGAGAATCAACTTCTTTACTTAGTTTTTTTTCTAATACTCAACTTCTTTACTTAGTTGCTGTTTCTAATTTACAATTTCTATTTCCATTTACTATTTCTATTTCCATTATAGAGAAAGGAATAAATTATGAAAACTAATTAATTTAAGAGCACTTCAATGGGATGACGGAGTCTTTTTCCAATTTAATATGAGGTTGTCGATTTGAATTTAACATTGAACACGTAGAAGTGTTAAATTTTTTAGGAAGAGTTTGCTGTTTATTATGGTTCTATAAAGTTTGAGAGATTAGTCTCTATAATTGCGTGTGGAGGGTAAAAAATAAATTATTTGGAGCATGTTCGAAATGTATATATTTAAGTAAGATTAGGGAAAAAGTCAATAAAATTATATTAATTGTATATAAAAAAGTAAAGTATATAAGTTTTTAGGATATTGACATTATTATGTCATGCATTTTGATTAACTTTTTTGTTTATACGGGCTGATGACCCATGTTGGTTCCAAATGCACCCTTTCGATCAAGAAACACGTCCCCTATACAAAAAAAACAAACAAAAGATTGGCACAGGTTAGTCTTGTTAGGTAACACGAGTCGTGTCAGCCTTAGAATTTTTCAAATTTCTCTTCCTTTTCTATATGGGCCACACTTTTAACCAATCAAATTCCACCCCACCACCCAACATGCCTCCTTTTGTCTGATATTTTAAATTTTCTCATTTATTTAACTTAAGCATAACTGTCATACCCCAAATTTTACCCTTAGATTAGTAGGTCCATTTCGCATTTCATTTCATTTTGCATTGCATTTTAACTAACTGCTAACCGGTTTGCCCAATCTGTTTGTTTTTGCAGGAAAATAGCGTTGGGTGCACGTTAATTTACAGTCTGTTGATGATTAGGAAGCAAAGTCATCATTAGAAACTCCTCAAACAATTAGGGTTTCCACCTCCAAGTCATGCAATTTTTATTTGAAAATGGGTTGAATTTTTGACATCAGATTCCTCTTGACACAGTACATTTTATTCAAGAACCGAGATTTAGTCGTCAGTTGGATTTCAGAAATATTCTTTGAGTCATAAACCGTATGGAGTTGAGGGCGTTGAAATATGAATGAATTTGGGTTGAATCTGTGCGAGAATTTGCTTTGGGGAATTTATTCTAACAGACACACGCTTTTCTGTTTTCTGATAATTATCAGTCGAGTTTAAAGGAACAGTGGAATTTCGGTTCACGTTGAATTTATAATGAATATCCGTTGGTTTAATCATGATTATCAGTCGAGTTGATTCAGGTTACAAAGTCAAATTATTCAAGACATAGTCGGGATTTTAGATGTAGAGGAAAGTTCTGAAGGTGAGATAATACTTAGAAGGGGGGGGGGGGGGTTGAATAAGTATGAAAGATTAAAACTTAGAAATAAAAACACAATTATTTTTATCCTGGTTCGTTGAACTCAACTACTCCAGTCCACCCTTCCTAGAGTGATTTGCCTTTCTCAACAAGGACTTAATCCACTATTTAATCAAACAGATTACAATAGTAACACCTAAGAACAACTGTTCTTAGTCTTCTCAAGAGCTACTGATTTCAACTGAATCCTTTTAAGGAAATCCTTTACAATCAATGTAAATCTAATACAAGAGTATGAATGCTTCTAAAAAGCTTTTATCACAACAGTGATATTTCTCTTAAGTTTAAGTACAAATAATTATAAGAAGAATATGAAAGAATGAGAGCTATGAATGTTATGATTTCTTTTCAGCAAAAATGTCTAACTGAAGAATTTGGTGGAGTCTTCCTTTTATAGGCAGCTGATCCAAGGAGAGCTGAACGTTGAAAAGAGTGTCCCAAAAAGGTCTGAGTCTTTTTGTCTTCACATCAAGTGACCTTTCCTAGAAGTAGAAAGCACAGAAAAATCCTTTTTGTCTGTGTTCTTGTGTCTAACACCAATGAGGAAAGAGACGTTTGATTTACTCCAACGGATATAATCTTTGAATATTTCTTCTTTAGTTTTCAACAAGTTCATCAGAATCTGATTGAGTCAGAGTCTTCTAATGATGTTCAGAACTTTGTTGTATCAGAGTCTTCTGCAGCATGTGTGCTTTTAGCGTGTTGATCATCAGAGCATATTTAACACAGAACTTCAGTACTGGCAGCTTTAGTACTTTCAGAAACTTCTGTAGAAACTATGCTTTGAGAAACTCTTCATACAATATTCTTCTTAGCTTCAGATGCTTCTGCTTGCTTCAGTTTCTTTTGGAGCTTCTGCTTCAGAATCTTCTGGAGCTTCTTGCTTCAGATCCTTCTGGAGACTACGCTCAGGATCTTCTGTAATCAGCAATCAGAATCTTCTAATGAATGCATCTGGCGCTTCAGAGTCAGATAACTTCTTGTATACAATTCAGATTTTCTTCTGGAGTGTTAATTTCATTTCAATCTGCAGTAAAACTCTCAAGCAAATTTTAGAGTATATAACTCTTAAATACAAAATTTCCTAACAGTTATCTTCAAAACAAAGAGATATTATTAAGAACCAATATGTGTTCTAACAAGTTCGTTTCTCCGCTAAAGTGAATTTCTCTGTTTATCTGCTCAAAGCCGCATTCGTCAATTTTCTTACTGAGTACGATTCAATTTGTAAAGGATTTGTTTGAACTCAGAAGCTTTGTCGGATGTAATTTAATTTTCGGTATTATGCAAAGTAGTTAGTTGTCGAATTCGGTTATTGAAACGTCAAAGTTTATTCGGAGAAATTTGGTCGAGAAATAGGAATTCATTTATTAAAAAGATTGAATTTATTCATTTTGTACAAAGTTTATTACAACATATGCAAGAATAATTACATTTTATTTGGAATTTCCTAAATCCTAGATGGTCATAAAAGGTCTTAATTTTCTCTAAGAGTTCTTCATGCCGATCTTCAACCTTCGACTTTTCGAACCTGCAAAACCGACAACACCTGAAAATAGTTGTTAAGTGGTTAGAATTAATTAAAAAGTGGTTTTATTAATTATTTTGATACCCTCAGTAATTTTTCATCCTCGGGTATATCGGGAGGGGCAACAAATGAATGTCGCCGCATCCCCCGACTTTCTTTCCGACCTCGACAAATCCGGCAATAATCTGTTCATAATTTTTTTCCCGAGAGAGAGAAAAGTGCTTTTGAAGGAAAGTGATTATTTGAAAAAGTGACTTTTTTCTGTTCAGCCAAATGGATCTTAAAGCCGATATGGATATCCAGTTCAATGCCAAGTCCAGCGAAAATCCATAACCCAAGAAAATCCATGGATATCCAAAGTGGAACAACCCAAATTCGGATTCAGGATATTTTCAAACAACAACATTTCCCAAAGTTCTGAACCAAAATAAGATCAAAACAAACTTTCCATGGAAAACGCAAAGTTCCGCCCCAAAACAGGTCAAAAAGCAACGAATCAAGTCTCCAAAATCGTAACAAATCCGCCAAAAGCAACAACAAATTTGTGAGAAGGATTCAACGAATCAAACCTAGAAACAGGAAAATCGTAACAATATGAATGATCCAGGCCCAAGCAAACAAATCGTATATAAACAGCAAAATCCATCACCATGTTGATCATAGAAAAATAACATAAAAGGTTCATCAACGAAGAACAGAAGAAGGAAAAGTTCATCATAAAATTCATCAGAGTCCATCGTCAAGAACGAGCAGATCCGCGACGGCGGCAACACCATCCTCAACAGACGAGGGGCATCGCGCGTCGCCATTCGCGGACAAGCCCTGAAGCCTCAAACGCCCGCCATCACCGGCGAGTCGCCACCAGCAAATTAAACCAACAACCATACTCGGATCCAAACTGCCACCGGAGAACCGCGAATCATCAAGCAACAGAAGGAACCGTAAGGATCAAGTGATTATTGTTTATTTTTCTTTTCTCTTTTCATTTTCAGGGACGTATGTCAAACCGAAGACATGGCATGCAAAGGAGAAGGAAAGTGTCAGAAGAAAGCGGAAAAAAAAAAAGCTCATAAGAGCTCCCATAGAGGGGCGCCGCTCGTGAGGAAGAAGAAAAGGGTTTCCACAAACCCTAAAAGTTTTAGCAACAACTCTTGCCCATTTCCCCTTTTATTTCTTATTTTATTATTTTCTTATTTTTTTTTATTTTTAATTTAATTAAATTATTAAATCTGTAGAAAATACATCATAATTAATTTGTTAAGTTAAAACCCTTTTTAGTTTTATAAGTAGAACTTAATTTTAAAAAAAACTTAAAAAGTAAAACTTATTTTTTTAAAGCTTCAAATAAAATAACTTAACATTTATAAAATAAAAATAACTTTTTTTAAACTAAGATTTTTGTAAAAAATAAAACCTAACATAATTAAAAATTAATTTTAAAACTAAAACTCTTTTCTAAATTAATTTCAAAACTTTTTCTTAAAACATGTTTAACCAAATTGTCTAACATTTCACTTTCAGTTTCGAATTGAGCCGTCACCTAATTGCGGATTTGATTTCTAACCTTGCCGTTTAATTTTGTCTAACGCTTATAACGTTCCTTTCGTATTTCTCATTTGTACAATTACTAATCTTTTACTTTTCGTATTTCATTTTCATGGTTGTAATTTATGCGAGGACATCGTCGTTTTTATCCCGTTATTATTCTTGCGCACTTTCCGATATTTCAATTCCTTTGCTCGATAATAATTATTCATTGCATTATTTACCGTATAGTCCATCCGA